GTTCCCCAAAGCTAACAAAGGGAGAAAAACACTATTATAGGATGGACTGTAGCCATTGTAAGATGGCTTGATGCACGGAAATTGAAACGTTGCAGAGTTGGAGAAGATAATCGCCCAAAGGTGAAGCTGCTGAAGCGCACAAGGTGACGTCGTTTCAGAGGAAGTGTGGTGCAAGCTCAAGAGTCGCTAGACGGAGGTTGCCTGTATGGTGTTGTTGCCGCCATACAGGCGGCAACAAGCTTCTTGGACCAATGCTGAAACCATGAGAGCGTTGAAGTAGCTTCCGGGTTAGTTGAGTTGGAGAAAGAGACAAAATGAGCTAGCGCAAGGTTGACGTGGTAGTTGTCGTTGTTGGAGACGATGGAGGACAGGACGAAGCTAGTTGGGTCAGGTTGACCGCCTGCGTGCGGCTAAATGCGCGCCCAAAGTGGTTGTGGCATGGTAGCAGTAAACGGTGCTTGTACACCGGCGATGATCGAATCCAAATACGTGTGACTTTGGATGTATCGTTGAATAGCATGGCCAGGAAGCTTGGCATGCAGTACTGACAAGTTCTTGGGTGTCCGGACATTGAAAATGGGAGCGAGGTGACCTGGGCTAGCTTGAAGCATCGCGAGAGCCGCACTGGATTCGTAATCCGCGTGATAGCAGTTGGCATAAAGTTCCAGGTAGCCGGTGATTTCGCCTATCGTCATGGATTCAACGTCTGTGTTGATGGTCGAATATACTTGAAGATCGACATGCGAACGTCAGTATGCGGCGTACAAATTGGCATTCCCTGCGACTATCATGTTGTACGGGGCTGGGGAAGGGTCAAGGTCGTCATCGGCGTCTTGAAGGACTGCAAACATGTTGTATGTACTGGGGAATGAGTGTGCATCCATGGCGGTCAGAGGCAATACTTTCTGCGTGGGAGAGGTCAGTAGTTGTCGGTGACTTGGCGGTATAGCGGAGTGAGATTTGCGCTCGATGCCAGAGCGGCGAGTCATCGGGCATTGAGGTGTGCGTTTGAACCGAGCGGTCGTGGTCGGCATCAATGAAATGTGGGTGAACCAGAACCGTGAACTCTGCGGATGATGCATGCGAGGTGCTATCCCACGCAATATGAGTTGCGTGGGAAGGTCCAACGGGTGTGTCAGAGTCGTCAATGGAGCAAAAGAGTCCCATATAGTCATTTTCAGAAATCGGATAATCTTGATCGTCGTCAGAGTCGCTGGACGGGGCGGGGTTTCCATCGGAATGTCAATTGGAGTCTCAGGTGAGGTGGTGTACCGTCAGTCGCACGGGTGTTTAAGGCATTGTACACAGGTGCGGCTGGAGTGGGCGCTTGGTATTTATCCAGGTGTTAGACTGGGGGTACACATTTGTTGTAGCGCGCGATGCCATGATGCACAAAGGGAGGGGCGTATTCACTCTCGTGTACAGTACGGAAAGTTCTCGTACAGGGTCATTGGGAGCAAACATCAGGCACTTGGGGGGATCGCGCGTAGCAAAATACACGGTAATGTGGCGGGAGTGGATGACGTTCTTGTCAATGTCGACTTGATCATTACTGGTGGTTCTCAATGCTCGTCCAAGTACGTCCAGATGTCATCGGGTTGAGTATCGGATGCCAACGTGAGGTTAATCCATTTCAAATTCGAATATTCGAAGTATTCTTGGATGAAAAACGGTTGTTCACAGGTTACGAGCTTCGGTCCACCAACTGTGGCGACCATGTCGCGGTCAGTGCAGTTGAACCTAATACCAACGTTTTGATTCGCATATTACCGCAGCAGACAATCGTCGCTGTTGTCCAAGTAGCCGGTTGGTGGGTCGTCGCCAGGCTATCGAGCATGTCTTGGAGTGCTAGTCAGCAACTGCTGACTTGCACGCGATCAAAATGTTGAATTTTTCTCTGGTGGAGTCGGTGTTGGAAGGGATGCCGTGGCCGCGAGACGACGGTCGGCATAAGATAGGTTACCAGCTTGGAACGCTCGTATGGCCGCAGTCAATTTGGTTTCCGTTGATCGACAACGAACATTGGAGTGCATTTTGTACCACGAGGCACGCCAGTTGACGTCGACTTCAGCCTTGCCCGGGATGGCAGTTGCTGATGCAGTAGTTTTAACACGCCGTCGCCCTATTGATTGTTCAGTGGGTCCAGAGGCCCCAGTGGAGCTTGACCACTCACTTTTGTGGCCCTAGGGGCAACAATGCGACTGGCGACGGCGCGAGAGGGTGGTTGAGGTTGGGTATGCCGGCCTGCGGCATTGCGGGAGCCAGAGCGGGCGGGATCGGCAGGTGCAACATGCGACTGAAAGATATCGGTAGACGATTGGTCGGCAGGCATGGTCATGGGTGCGAGACGTGATGCGATTGGCGGGAACCGTGCGCTGGGTGAGTACTTCAGGTTTGATCGGGTTGCCAGTGGGACTGTGCAGGAGCGAGCAAATTGAAAAGTTTGAATACAATAAACCTCTTGCTGAAAGATTGACGAACCAATCAAAGATCCACAATATTAAGAAAATTGACACCATTTTTGAGAAAACACCAAATGAATGGTTGAACATTCTACTGATGTAAGCAAGAACAATGATTGGACATACATCGACTACCAAATCAACGAATGGATGAAATCTTTTGCAGTAAATATATTCTCAGCCAGTCAATGCATTTGGAAATCACTCAATGTTTTCCAAATTCGCTCATCTCATTGCAAAACTTGCTCTAAACAATTATGGCGCGCCGCAACAGTCTCACCGGATCAAAGCCGACGTCGCAAAGTGACCGAAACATGCGCCAGGGCCTTGCTCTCCTGGAGAGCCTTGATCTACAGCGGCGCGAAAAGCGAGCAAAATACTCGTCCGAACCAATCGACGACAACGACATCGACGGTGACTCCCCATC